TCCCAGTGTTGGATATCCTCCCTCATGTGTGCGTGAGCCGTCCTCACGGGCCGCTGAGACGTCGCCCTCGGCGACGGAGGCCGAGGGAGACGGCCCGGGGGACGGGGGACGTTACGCTTTGCAGTTTGCGAGACCGTGCGCGGCTCCGTCCGCCTGAGAGACTGTCATATGTGTAAAGTGTTAGTGGCGACTGTTCAAAAGTGTCATGTTTTGTCCTGAGGTGGAGGGATGTAGTAGATTGCCCCACCCCTGGCTGCGCCAGTGGCTCATGTGCCGCTGTACCTGGCGCCGCCCCTGACTCGGCCCGCGGCGCACGGCCTGAGCCGAGGCCGCGGTTCAATAAACCAGTACAGAACGGACCGCCGTGGTGTAACAGCCACCAATCTCTATGGAAACATCCCTTATCAGGAAGCCATCGAGAGCGCCAAGAAACTGCTGGACTTGCATCATACAAGAATCAACATGTTCGGTCTCAACACATCCGACGTCACCCATCTCCTACGCCACTGCCTGTCCAACAACTATTTAAGATTTGGTGACAAATACTTCCGCCAGACGACTGGTATCGCCATGGGAAGCCACGTAGCCCCACCACTAGCCATCATCTTCATGGGACACCTTGAGGATACCTTCAACGATAGCGCACTTCTCAAACCGGACATCTACATGAGATACATCGATGACATTTTTGGAGTGTGGACTCACGGACCAACTAGTCTCAAAGAATACTTATCCCACATCAACGAAGCACATCCTTCAATGAAATTTACCATCGAGTCGACGGAAGACAATACACCAATCCCCTTTCTAGATACCAAGATCACAGTTTACCCTTCGGGAAAGTATACAACGGAACTTTACATCAAACCAACATCAGCCGGGATTATACTTCACGCAGAGTCGGCTCAACCATGGAAGACCAAAAGGGCAGTGCTTCACTCACAAATACGACGAGCCATCAAGCTATCAAGTGACGATAACGCCCGACACCGAAGCATCAACTAAACAAGAGAGCTCTTCGCCAACAACGGGTACAACGTGAAGACCATCAACAAGGCGGTGGACCAGTGCATGAAGACGACCAGAGCAAGAACAAGAAGACCGAATGCTTCCGCAGTCAGAATGGTGCTACCATTTGTCGACGACGAGCTCGCCAACGCGGTCCAGTCAGTCGTCCGGAGGAGTAGCCAACCTGACCTGGGGTTGGCCTGGACTAATAAGAACACCATCAGGCACCAACTGGTCCGGTCAGCCCTCCAGCCTCCACCCTGTCCCGGTGGCTCTCGATGCCACTCGTGCGCCGCCGGACTGAAAGGAAGATGCCACAGCTCAGGTGTGGTGTACCAGCTCACGTGTGAACTGTGTAACCAGAGTTATGTTGGTGAGACGGGACGTTCGGTGCGCCTCCGCTACAACGAACACTTGCGAGATGCTAAAAACAAGCGGAATGACTCCCCGTGGGGCGAGCATTTCCGAACACAGCATCCCCAGTGTCGGCCGGGACCCCATAATGTAAGGGCAAAGATTCTGCAGGCATGCGATGAAAGTAGAGGCAGGAAAATAGCGGAGTCTCTTTGGATCAAACAGATTCGCCCAGCTCTAAACAGCAACATAGCGGCCTGGGCCATCATTTAAAGGGTAACGAGTCATAGACCAAGGGAAAGAAATGAGGAACTGATCCTGTCCTGTAGTACTCTAGCATTTACAACTTCGCTATTGTAACGTCTTCTGTTCTGATGCCTTTGCCACTGATTCACTGATCATGTGTGTATTACTGAGTGACAAGTGGCTTTTATATTCAACCATATTGATGAATGATATGTGAGAAAATGAATGAATGAATGAAGGACTGAATAATTGGATGATTGTATGAATGAATGAATGAATGAATGAATGAATGAATGAATGTATGTATGAATGTATGGATGAACATGAATGATTGAACGATTGAGTATTGTTTCGAGGTTTGAATGAATGGTTTAATGGTAAAGTACTTATGCTCTTTGATGTAAGATGGTGGCCTTTGATGACTTGATTGTCTAATTATCTATAGCTGAGTGATGTGTGCGTACATGGATGGTTGGATGTTTGACTGATTGCATGGCTCGATGGTTGAATAGACGACTAGATGCTTGTGGTCTAGTGATTGATAGATGATAGGGATGGATTAATGTGTAAATTGTGGACACACATGTATTATATTTATATGAAAGGGTACCTTGTGAACATTTCAACTGTAAGATGGTTGTCTATTTTGCGCGAGAATTTACCAATGTGAGACTTCCTAACTTAGCTGTTATCGACATATTCTGGCGCTGTTGTGACTAAATGATTTAATTTGCAATTCTGAACTGAAGAAGGACAGTGTCCGAAATATATTCATTTTGTAATTAATTTTGGAACCATTTGCATTTCGCAATCATTGAACATAAGGTTATATTTGAAAACATATATATGTCATAATGCTGTTCATACAAGTACTTCGCCATTTACTCGCGTAGTTTTATGACAAATTAACCCTCGCACGACCAGGCCATTTCTCATAACACGAACGACCAGGGGGGGGGTTGTTACGACCCCCCCCCTGGCGTTTCGAAACGGAAGGTCGTAGAGCTTAGCGGAAAAGACCAACGGATTGCTCTCGCCGAGATCTCGCGATTGGTGGTATATTTTTTGGTCCTAGGTCAACATTTGACCTACTTTTGACCGGTCAAAGGTCAAATTTTCGGAAAAATAGACTTTTTTCAACTTTCGGCGGCGATTGCGGCAAAACGGTGGGAGATATCGACTTGAAACCTTCACTATCGTGTTCCTTGATCAATTCTCTATCGTTTGGTATGTATTTCGTTTCCCTAGCTCTAAAAATGGCGCGTTGGGAGCGCCGGAAGTCGGCAAGTTCACAGTCGGCGGCAGAAATTCGAAAAATCAAAATTTAAATTTTTGAAATCTGATTGTATTTTTGGATTTGGGAGGTCCATTTGCTCCCTGTAGAAGCTAATATTGCTGCATATTCCCATTGAGGTGACAAGAATTAGCAAAATAGTGGTTCGGGCGCTTTTCAAAAATAGTACCGGACGCTGTTCCTCTTGTGACGTCATAGCTCCGTGACCTGACCTGACCCGGTCAAATTTCTTATACCATATGATAGCCAATACTTGCCCCAACATGCATGGGAAGTTTCATCACGATCCATCAACCGATGTCCGTACCACCGGCAGGAAACCTCGGGCATTGGCACTCAGTTTGTGAAAATCCGGCCGGAGGCTGTACCTCTTATGACGTCATAACTCCGTGACCTGACATGACCCGATCAATTTTTTTTCGGCAAAAGATGCGCAAAGGTTGCCCCATAAGGTACCCAAAATTTGGCGGCGCTGCGCGCCGCCGTTTTTGCACTATTTCCGAAAAACCTCAGGGGGGGGGTTGATACAACCCCCCCCCTAGGCGTTCTAGGGTTAAAGGCGTAGATAATTTTCACTAAAAATCACTTTGCAGAGGTTTAAAACATTTATATTTTTAAGAATACTGTTGCTTGTCATGCAAACGTGATGATTGGATCTTGGAGAGAATTGAATGCTCTTTCTAATGATAGCATTTTCAATTGTCAAGCGTATCAGGTTAAGCAGCAAATCCCGTGTAACTTTTTAGTGGCACATTTTGGACAAATACCATTTAATTCAGCGATTTTTTCCACATTGTTTTTGATCAATTAGCTTTTCACAATTTTTCCATGAGAGACGGTACATTTTTATTGCTAATAGGCGCTGTTTCAACTCATTCCGTCTGACGATCACCTGAAATTAATTGTTGGCGCCATCGTCTTTTCCCTTTCTTTTCTTTGGTTTAACTTGATTATGTGAATGCCTCAGAGGGTACCCTTTTCGGCCCGCGCTGGAGCAGCTGACGGGCCGGGGCGGTAGCGCTCGGCCGGCCGGGCGCCTGGGGCGGTGACCGGCCGTCTGGGTCAGCGGTCGCGGCCGGTCGCTGGATCAGTCGCGTGGAGCGAGCGGCCGCACGCGCGCGCATAGGCACCGCTGGCTGTTTGGTGATATTTTTGAGAACGGCATCGAAGAGTAAACTTTGTTTGTTTGAACGTGGTCTTGAATGCCAAATACAAGACATTGGATAAAAGGTCGTTAACTCTACACTTAAGCAGCAGCGGCGCCTACAGTTCTCAAAATTTACCAAGTTGATCGAAGAAGCGCTGAATTCGCCAGCTCTGAAGTCTACCACCTCGACTGCTATAGAAGGTGAGAAGCTGATTTTGTCTTCCCTTTTTCTGCAATATTTTATCGTTATCTTCGTTCGTCATTGAGTGTATACTGAATAGTATTCGTCACCCGACTTCGGTCAAATTTCAGTGTTTATCGTCACGTATATCGTCACATTACACCTCGCCATTTATATCGTACATCGGTAAAGCTGCTTGTAACTGATATCGCTTCAATGCTTATCCAGTAAGATATAAACTTCAAACCAATTGAATGATGGAAAGGTTTACCATTCCCGTGCTCAAATATGAACTGGGTAAACGAGACCTAGATACGAGGGGGTTAAAGGCGGCTCTCATGGACAGACTGATGCATGCAGTTACGAGGGAAGGATTGGATCCGAGAACATACGTTTCTGATTTTTATCAGTCCCCTGCGGCTACTACTCGCGGAACCGTTCGCACAGATGAAACAAGCGACCGTAACGAACGTCAGTTCAACGCGCAGCGCGAGTATTTAGAGTGCGTCGATGGCTCGAATCGCGTTAATTTATTCGGTGTTGCTGGAGGCGTTGCTGGAGGCGTTGCTGGAGGCGTTGCTGGAGGCGCTGCTGGAGGCGCTGCTGGAGGCGCTGCTGGAGGCGTCACTGCGGGAGCTGTTGACGGTGTTGCTGGTGCTGCTGATGGAGGCGAAGCTGGAGATGAGGCTGGAGATGATGTTGCTTCGGTAGCTTCCCGTTCATCTGTCAGCACAAGAGCCACTTCTTCGTCTAGACGCTCGGTGACATCCATGAGAGCTCAGGAGGCAGCTAAACAAGCAGAACTTCGCGCGAAAGCTTCATTTCTGGAGGAGAGAAGAAAGGTGGAAGAAGAAGAACTTCTGCTGCGGCTCGAAGTGCAGAAGCGCAAGCTGCAGCAAGAAATGGAGCTGAAGGAGATGGAGCTTCGTCAGAGGTTGATGTCTCGGCAGAAGAAAGAAGAACTGCACATCCGTCAGCAGATGGCTGAAGTTGATGCCAGAGAGAACGCTGTAAGAACTATCGAAGAAGAGCTGATAAGATCAGAAGAAGCTGACAGAGTACCTCGTCTGGCCTCATTGAACGCTGAAGCGCCCATCTTCCAGCCTACTCAGCGGTTCCAATCAGATGTCAACGTGTCCACGACTCTTCCAACCAAGAAAATGACTTCCCCAGGATCTATAGTGAACAGGTGTGCGGACGTACCTGTGGGATACCTTGATGTACAACGACAAGAGATACAACATGCCAACGCACTGCAAAGACGAGAAACCCAGGACTTCACTGGAGCCGTTGAAGCTGGAGCGCTGGGAACAACTGAAGCTGGAGTGCCGAAATCTGAAGCATCCAGGCTGAGCCAAAGTGCACCACATCCGGGTGCATCATGCCCAGCCACGCAGACACCGCCTGACTGTCTTCTCGGCTCGGAAGTTCTGCAAGGCACACCGCATTATCCTGGCAGCCAGAAAATGCACACTAACGAAGGGTCTCCTGAATATTCACAAGAGAAGAGCTCGATAGAAGAGCTAGTAACCCGACAGAATCTCGTCATGGAGTCTCTGATGAATCAGCAAATGAGGAGTCTTCTCCCGAAGTTGGAGACGGTGAAGTTCGCTGGAAACGTCACCGAATATACTCAGTTCACCAAGACCTTCGACAGCAACATCGGATCCAAACTGGCCAACGATGAAGAGCGCCTCGCTTACTTGGACCAATACCTGGTGGGAGAACCCAAGGAGCTGATAAGAAGTTGTCTGCTGATGTCACCATCTGAAGGGTACAGCGAGGCCAGGAACCGGCTTCATCAGCGGTATGGAGATCCATACAGAACTGTGGCTATCCTGATCAACAAGATCATGAAGTGGCCCTCGGTCAAACCTGAAGACGCGCATGGCTTGGATAAACTCTCTCTGTTCCTGTCGAGCTGCTACTCTTCGGTAACAAGTGAAGCGTCATCTCTACAGCTAGACCAGCCAAGTGTTCTGAGGAGTGTCCTGGACAAGCTGCCTCCTGGTATGCAGGATAGATGGAGAAGGAAAGCTGTGAGAATCCGGGACTCGCAAGGAGACGTGAAGTTCAAGGACTTGGTCTCCTACGTCGCAGAGGAAGCCAGAGTACTGTCTGACCCTCTCTTCGGAAGACAAACCCCCGACAAGTCAGTCAGAGAAGCACAGAGGACCGAAGGATATGGTCATGGAAGATCTGGACGCGTGATGGCCACGAACATCAACAGCAGAGATCAGCAAAGAAAATGTTGGTTCTGTGGAGAGGAACACTTGTTAGAAGACTGTACGACGCTGAGGTCGAAGTCAATGCAGGAGAGGAGGGAGTTCATTCTGAAAAACGCCCTGTGCTACGGCTGCTTGCGGAAGTGGCATCGCGTGTCTGTCTGCTCGGCTCGGAAGTTCTGCAAACTCTGCAAAGGCCGCCACCCAACACTCCTTCATGAGGACAGAGGCTCAGCACCAGCATTGCAACCGTCTGAGAAGAACAGTGACGAATCTGAAACGCCAGTCAAAAATGGGTCTGTCGGTATGACGCAGACTGGAGCGAATCTGCAGTCGAACATGCCGGTCATTCCAGTCAAGGTAGGCGACGGTAAAACAGTATCTACATACGCCTTCCTGGACAGTGGCAGTTCCGCCTGCTTCTGCACTGAGTCCTTGCTGACAGCTCTGCAGGCGGGTATCCACTGCACTCCAACGCGATTGACTTTGGAAACCGTGAACCCGGAAGTGACCAGGATGAAGAGTCTCATCATCAACGGCATCCAAGTGTCTGATCTTGAAGAAAGTTCCTTCATATCACTTCCAGCAACGTACACCCTGGACAAGATTCCAGTTTCTCGCGACGACATTCCCACAGCGCGGGATATAGAAGTCTGGCCTCACCTGAGAGAATTGGAACTTCAGGACATCAATTCGGAGGTCAGCCTGATGATTGGCAACAATGTGCCAGAAGCAATGGAGCCATGGGACGTCATCCACGGGATGCCAGGCGAGCCGTTCGCGGTGAAAACCAAGCTGGGGTGGGTCGTTAACGGCCCCATGAAGCCAGAAACTGGCCAAAACATCCGCTTCAACAGGGTCAGCGTCAAAGAGGACGTTCACGAGATGTTTATAAGGATGTACAACGATGAATTCAGAGACGAAAACATGGAGGGAAAAGGAATGTCTCAAGAAGATCTGGTGTGGCTGAACAAGGTCGAGTCAGCATGTGAACTTACGAGTGACAACCACTACCAGATACCACTTCCTTTCAGAGATGAAAATGTGCGGCTTCCAAACAACATTACAATGGCCACCAGAAGACTGGAGTCGCTGAAGCGGAAGCTCTCTGGAGACGAACGTCTTCTCCAGGATTACACTATCTTCATGGAGGAAATGTTGAAGAAAGGCTACGCCGAAGAGGTTCCAGAAGAAAAGACGAATGAGGGCAAGGTCTGGTACCTTCCTCATCATGGTGTCCGTCATCCCCAGAAGCCAGAAAAACTGAGAGTGGTTTTTGATTGCGCAGCGAAGTTTCACGACACCTCTCTGAATGACAGGCTGCTTCAGGGTCCAGACCTCACCAACGACCTGCTGGATGTTTTGCTGAGGTTCAGGGAGGGAGCTGTAGCATTTACGGCAGATGTCGAAGCCATGTTCTACCAGGTGAAGGTACCGTCGGGGGATCGAGACTTCCTCAGATTCCTCTGGTGGCCAGAGGGCAACTTGAAGATGCGCCCAAAGGCGTATCGTATGACGGTTCATCTGTTCGGGGCCTGCAGCTCACCCAGCTGTGCGAGCTACGCATTGAAGAAAACGGCCAAGGACCATGGAGTGCTGTTCGAAGACGGTGCTGCCCAAACTGTTTCCAACAACTTCTACGTCGATGACTGCCTGAAGTCTGGACAAGACCAAGAGAAAGTGACAGCGCTGGCGCATGGTGTGAAGCAGCTCTGCGCCTTGGGGGGATTCAATCTCACCAAGCTCATGAGCAACAGCCGTCAACTGCTGAACTCATTCCCCTCCGAAGAACGTGGAAAGAAGGTCAAGACCATCGATCTCAGTCATGGTGAGCTTCCTGAGACAAAGGCTCTAGGCGTGGTTTGGATTCCGGAGGATGACGCGCTGGTGGTGAAAACTGAAGTGACAACGAAAGAACCAACCAGAAGGGGGATACTCGCGACGGTCAGCTCCGTCTATGACCCGCTGGGCATAGTCGCTCCCTTCACCCTGTCAGGGAGAATGATCCTTCAAGAGCTGTGCAGACTGGAACTGGGATGGGACCAGCCCTTGCCTCCCCACTTAGAGGATATGTGGAAGAAGTGGATAGAAGCCCTGCCAAAGCTTGCAGACTATCACATTGACAGATGTGTGATGCCCAGACATTTGGGTGAGTGTGTGGACGCTCAGGTCCACCATTTCTCGGACGCCAGCGAGAAAGGGTTTGGGTCTGTAGCATATCTGCGACTGACTGACGCAGAGGGCAGAATATGGTGTTCATTTCTGTGCGGAAAGGCTCGAGTTGCCCCTCTGAAGACGATCACTATTCCAAGACTCGAGCTGGTTGCGGCTGTCATGGCAGTGAGGATCAACAAGAGGATCGAAAGGGCCATGGACCTCTCTGCGAACTCTACATATTTCTGGAGTGACAGCATGACTGTTATCAACTACATCAGGAACACAAAAACGAGGTTCCATGTCTTCGTGGCGAACCGGCTTAAAATTATTCATGACAGTTCTTCTACTTCACAGTGGAGGTACATCCCAGGACCTATGAATCCTGCAGACGAAGCATCCAGGGGACACCAGACAGAACGATGGCTGAGAGGCCCAGACTTTCTCTGGAATCCTGAGTCGGAGTGGCCACAGTTGCCATTCGATGACGCAGAATTGTCACCCTCTGATCCTGAAGTCAAAGCAAGCAGTCTTGTCGTGATGGAAAGGTCCAGCACAGAAGCTGGTGACCAGATTGGTGATGATGTTTCCAACCCTGCTGGTCTTGAACATGCTGCGGATCCTGTACAACAGCTGGCAGAACACTATTCTAGCTGGTACAAACTGAAGAAAGCAGTAGCATGGCTGATGCGTGCGAGAAGTGCTCTTCGAGCCAAGGCGAAGAACAAGACGAGGTCGTGTGCAACCGACTTCACCGGACAGTTGACAGTTGACGAGCTGGAAGCAGCCGTCAAGGTCATCATCAGATCAACGCAGAAGCAAGCGTATGGAGAAGAGATGGCTGCTCTTGGGGAAGAACACTTCAGAAATGACGAGAAAGCGAAAGGACGTCACTTGAAGAAACCCAGTCCGCTCCGAAACTTGGATCCAGTACTGGAAGACGGCCTCCTCAGAGTAGGAGGACGTCTGAGAGCATCCACTTTAGAGCATGGAAGAAAACATCCTTTGATTCTGCCTGGGAACAGTCATGTAGCCCGTCTCATCATCGAAGACACGCATCGCCAGGCAGGACACCAGGGAAGAGAGCATGTTCTCGCCGCCCTACGTGAGCGTTTCTGGGTGACTAAGGGGAACACAGCAGTGCGTCGTGTTCTGAGAGCATGCGTAAGATGCAGACGTCTCCAAGCACCAGTGTGCTCCCAGAAAATGTCTGATTTACCAGAGGAACGCATGGAGCCTGGACTGCCCCCCTTCACAAATTCTGGAGTGGACCTCTTCGGCCCATTCTATGTGAGACGCGGAAGAGGTCAAACAAAGGTCTACGGGGTAATATTCACCTGCTTAGCATCACGGGCCATCCATCTGGAGATCGCAGATTCACTATCAACGGATTCCTTCATCAACGCCTTGAGACGCTTCATCGCCCGCCGAGGAGAAGTGAGATCCATGAGGTCTGACCGAGAAACCAACCTTGTTGGTGCAGAACGCGAGCTCAGAGAATGCATCGACAACTGGAACGAGGAACACCTTGTTGAAGCAATGCGCCAGAGAAACATCCAATGGAGTTTCAATCCACCGAGTGCGTCCCACTTCGGAGGCATATGGGAGAGACAGATCAGAACAGTGCGGAAGGTCCTGACAGCTGTACTTTGTGAGCAGACAATGACTGAAGACAGCCTGAGAACACTGCTCTGTGAGGTAGAAGCCATCGTCAACAGTCGGCCCTTGACCACCGTTTCTGACGATCCATCGGACCTCTCTCCTCTCACACCAAACCATCTGCTTCTGCAGCGCAGCGGTACTCCGCTGCCGCCAGGAGTCTTCGAGCCAGATGACTTGATCTGTCGAAAGCGTTGGAAGCAAGTTCAGTACCTGGCGGATCTCTTCTGGCAGCGATGGACGAAGGAGTATCTGGCACTTCTACAGAGCAGAGTGAAATGGCAGCGACCTGTTCGAAATCTGCAAGACGGTGATGTTGTAGTGGTGGTTGAAAACGGCTTGCCCCGGTCACAGTGGCGACTGGGTAGAGTCGAACGGGCTGTGGCCAGTGCCGACGGACTGGTGCGAAGGGCACTTGTTCGCACGGGTCATAGCGTGATAGAGAGACCTGTGTCCAAGCTTGTCCTGCTCTTGGAGGAATGAGGGATGAGTGGCTGCGTGATGTGACTCACACCCATATATGCTCCCCAGCTGATTAAGCCTCAACTGCGTGTATGATCGTGACTACAGCGACCTGTCTAGTCGTCGTGTATATGCATTGAATTCCTTTTAAATCTAGCTATGCACTCAAACCACGTTTAAGTATGTCGTCATTGCTTCGTTGTTCGTCATAAGTAATATCGTCATTAATTGATCGTCAGTTTCTTCACTTCATACAATCAGGCAACGTTAAGCCATAAATCGCATATATGAGAACGTGTTGCTGCTCGATTTTCCCTGGTTCCAGGTGATGGCGTACCTAGAGACCAGGAGGGTCTTCTGGTCAGATGGCGCAGGCCGAACGACGTCACCGGTCAGACGAGTCTTCTGGAGGACATCGGCAGGGGTTGAAGACCACCACACTCTGGCGGAGGCGAGTTCGGCGACGTCCTCCGTCGGGAACCAGTTCTTCGACAGCCACTGTCACCTCGACCTACTGTTGGAGAGAGAGGGAGGATCAGCGAGCCTCACCGAGTATATGAGGCGAGCCAGGGTGGGCTTTCCTACCGACTTCGGTGGATGCCTGACAGTCTTCTGTCGCCCTAACCACTGGTCGCGCTCGTCACGGTGGATGAACCTGCTGGAGGACTCCAGAGTCTACGGGGCGTTTGGCTGCCACCCCCACCGCGCCACGGAGTGGAACGGACACACAGAAGCCGTCCTGATCGAGATCCTTCGGTCTCACCCACGTGTAGTAGCCGTGGGTGAGATGGGCTTAGACTTCTCTCGAAATAACCACGTCCCGAGTGACGTGCAGCGAAAGGCGTTCCAGCGGCAGCTTCAGATCGCAATCAACGAGGAGATGCCCGCCGTTCTCCACCTGAGAGAAGCAGAGAGGGAAGGGCTGGAGATGATGCAGAGGATGGTGCCACGAGGGCATCCCATGCACTGGCACTGCGTTACCGGCCAGTGGCCTCTGATCAGAATGTGCCAGGAGCAGTTCGACAACAGCTACTTCGGGTTTACCCCACTCATCTACAACGTCAACGCCTCCAACGCCAGAATGGTAGCTAAAGCGCTGCCTCTGGACAGAATACTCATAGAGTCCGATGCCCCCCACTTCTTGCCCCAGGAACACAGAGGCCGCACAAGATGGTCCCACCCTGGGATGTCAGAGTACGTGACACGCGCTCTCGCCGACCTACACGATACCAACAGAGACTGCGTGAAGCGGCAAACTCGCGAAAACGCCAAGCGGCTGTACGGCATTGATATGCGGTGGTAGGAGGAGAAGGAGAAGGAGAAGGAACAGTGAGGTGGAGCAGCGTCCTCGGGGGCGATCTGAGATCTAGCGGAGGAGGCGCCCGCTTCGGCAAGGCGCTTTCGGCATAAGTGCTTTCGGCATAAGTGCTTTCGACATAAGTGCTTCAGTTGAAATCATTTAGTATGCTTGCGATTATGTTCAGTCCTCGGGATGGACTTTATGTTGTGTGTTATGTGTCCTCGAGATGGCTCAGTCATATTCAGGTGTTTGAACCCCGGGAGTGTTCAAGGCGGGGGGTGTTGGCGCCATCGTCTTTTCCCTTTCTTTTCTTTGGTTTAACTTGATTATGTGAATGCCTCAGAGGGTACCCTTTTCGGCCCGCGCTGGAGCAGCTGACGGGCCGGGGCGGTAGCGCTCGGCCGGCCGGGCGCCTGGGGCGGTGACCGGCCGTCTGGGTCAGCGGTCGCGGCCGGTCGCTGGATCAGTCGCGTGGAGCGAGCGGCCGCACGCGCGCGCATAGGCACCGCTGGCTGTTTGGTGATATTTTTGAGAACGGCATCGAAGAGTAAACTTTGTTTGTTTGAACGTGGTCTTGAACGCCAAATACAAGACATTGGATAAAAGGTCGTTAACTCTACACTTAAGCAGCAGCGGCGCCTACATTAATATAAATTCCAAAATCCGTTTAAAATGGCACTTTTTGAAATGAAATTGCCCTCACACTTGCACGTGGCGCGTGCCACCCCTGCACCGCACACTATTCGATTGCCCGTTCGATTCTCTACACGATGCTGTTTTCCCCGTGCCGATCGGGCGCACGGCTACCGAGATATTGCACGGGGAACGGACCCGTGTCGGGCAAATTTAGCCATTTTCGCCCGTTTTTGCCAGCCGATTTATACATGTAAAGTCTATGACGCGAATTTGCACTTTTTGGGCACGCGCCACGCGCTCGCTATCGATCCGATCGAGCCGAGACCGCTCAAAGGCACGTTGTCCATCCTTGTTCTATAACTTGCGCAAATTTCAGCGCGGTAGGTGCAACGGTGTGATCTGTAACCCGCGCTACGTAGCACCATGTCGCGACCTTCGTAATAGACAGAAACTACGCCCTCCTCAAATAGTAATATAGATCTTTGCCTAGGGTGATCGTTGGGCTGTAAAAGCTCCTGATTTATGCTCGTCTCAGCCCAAGCTACGGAACTGCTATTCCAGTTCAAAACCCATGTTAAAAAGTGAACTATTTCCTTTAACTTTGCGAATCTCTCGGAGAAACACTAAGACTAAGACGACATTGGCAGACATAAATTGTGCTTTAACCTTCGCCCCAGTGGGGGGGGGGGGCATATGTTACCACCCTGTTGCGTTTTTTGCGTGTGAATAAAAAACCGCGGCGCGTAGCGCCGCGCCGCTTGGGGTAGCTTTTGGTACATCGATTTTGGACAATGTGTGAAATTTTTGACCCCAGGTCATGTCAGGTCAGGTCACCAGGTCAAGTTAACTGACCAAGCCTAAAAAAGTTTGCAATCATGTCCAGCCTGCAGTGTTTGTCAGAAAGGTTTCAAACTTGGTGGATTGCATGCTGTTATGGGCGCCTACAATTTGTATATCTCGGATTTTTTATATCCGTGACCTAAGGTCAGGTCAGTGGCGAAACCTTTCCATTACAAGTCAATGGAGAAAAATGAAAATGCCTCTAGATCCGTGTGTACGCATCGGAACAGTCCAAATATTTCAGAATCACAATGATTTAGTCCACTCGTGATGACCAAGGTGTCATTTTTGCTGATAGCCTCTAGACAGGTCATCCGAGGTCACTTGAGGCTACAAACAGTTTTTTGCCAATAACTCGCGATTGGAAAGAGATAGAACGCTGGGGTTGGTCTCATTGTGTTTGCCTTGTTAAGACGCATCGACTGATATGCAACATGATCTTTTCCGGTAAGGTCATAACCTTGACCTGAGGTCAAATTTTCAACTTGACCTTTCAAGGTCAAATTATAGTTCATTCGACGCGTCTCGGCGAGAGGAACACGATTCTGGCAATAGAAATGTCGTGGATTTTTGTAGTCGAAAGTTATTGTCGAAAAACACTTTTCGTAAAAACAGTTATTTTTGGACTCTGCCCTCTGGAGGCCAAACCGTTGACCTGAGGTCAATATTGATAATGACCTTTTCAAAAGAAGAGTTCAAACGCTATCGATTGCTTTTTCCTGCGTTATTCTAGCTACCATAGTTCCTGAGATAGCGGCATGTTTTCTGAAAAATATAATGACAATTGGCAAATTTTGACCTTTGATGACCTCTGGTGACCCCAATATTGCTCTAAGGTGAAAAATGACTGAAATACTTTCAAACGTACGCATTGAGAGCTATCGACTGCTTTTTACCGCGTCTTTCTAGCCCTCTTAGTTTTTGAGTTAGAGGTGGGTGGTAACATATGCCCCCCCTCACTAGGGCGAAGTTGGCTGAGACCGCCACTGGGGCGCGGGTTAATACAAATGTTGCACAATGCTGAGAATGAAAATATATGGAAGCCTCTATGTTCCGACAAGTAGTTTTTGCACTCTTAGTGGCAGTTGCTTGACAAAAAATATCCTTTAGAATGATTGGCATATCACTTATAGCTAAACACGCAAGGCGGGAGGGGAACTGGCTAGCCCATTCATCTTTTCGCTAAGGTAATTTTACAACCGTCGGCACTCTTCACGCTCCACCTGTGCCTATATTATCAGCGGCTTTCGATGTGAAAAGCCACACGAAACATTCATATGTCACCCGTGAAATGCTGTGGGTGTGTGCGGTATAAAGAGCGATCTGTTAAAGCGTGTCTCCTTTGGAGCGTGCCGGCCTGTTGTCAAATGATGGCGATGTATGGGGAAGGGACAGCTGTGAGGACTTTCACAGACCAATCCGTCTTAGAAAAGTAATATTTGCTGTGACACTATGCTGGAGCGTGGGCGATGTGCTCTATCTAGTATGCATCCTATGGGCGATAAATAAATGTCTTGCTGTGTAGACGAGTTATTTATCAGTTGAATGCAAGCATTCAGCAAATATTATGCATCATGCCTTCGCTGATTGCTTCAATAAGGGAGCTCAAATTGTGTGGATTTCTGTTTTTATCACTATGTGACAAACAATACTCTGTGACAAACAATGAGATATTCCAAAATTGATTAACAGGCACGAAATTGGTGACCACCTAGTGATGCTTCGCCCTCGTAGGTCGTAGAACTACGAGGGCGAAGTTTATGTTATGTTATATTATGCTCGTTTATGTTAGTTTTCATCACAGATATTATCTTCATGCATTTAAGCCAGGTCGGGTCAGGTCAACCAGTAGGCATCTTGCCGGCTCTCCATCGCAGGTGGTATCTCCACTGGCAGCTTCGTAAAAGTTACGTAGGCTCCAAAAGTACTTCCTGTAATCCACGCCGTGCTGGAGGGGGGGGGGCGATGTCATGTCCTACTCAGTTTTTCGCAAATATCTGAAAAAAAACGGCGGCTCTGTGTACCACCATTTTCGGGAAACCTATTTATGCATCTTCCCCGCACATGATGTGAAACTTTCAAACCTGGGTCTTTCAATGTCAGATTACCCTAGGCAGGGCTGCGGAGTCGGAGTCGGGAGTCGGAGCTGGAGTCGGTCGGAGTCGACAGTTCTGGCCGGAGTCGGAGTCGGAGTCGGAGTCGCCAAAATCTTACCGACTCCGACTCCGAAGTCGGAGTTAACGCTGCATAGCTCAACGTCATGCACTGCACCTGTTGGATTGACAATGCTGCGCTCGAATTTATATTTTGTCGAAAAAAGGCCGTGTTGCTGTTTTGGACGAACGTTTTCACTTTCAGCGAAAGAAGTAAGAATGTGAATTCCCCAGAATCTGCTTTTTAATTCTGCTTGCTATTTTTATTGCATTTTTGCATCTAAAAGCTTTGGAACGCACAAAGGATCGTTTCAGGCAAGATAAAAACATCCGTTATGAGCTTCAATATCATTATATGGATTTTAATAGAACCATCCGGAGTCGGAGTCGGAGTCGGAGACGATTTTTGAAGCCGGAGTCGGAGTCGGAGTCGGAGTCACCCTAAAATCCATCGGCTCCGCAGTCCTGACCCTAGGTCACGTCACGTCAAGTGACATTGCCTTAGAAAAATATCCAGTGCTCGCTGTAGCTAGCTACACCGACTAACTAAACGATCGCTTTGATATTTTCGGAGACTCCCGCACTGTAGTTCTATTGGTTTCCGAGTTAAGCGTCAGTATTTCGAAAATTGTTGAAAAAAAATGCAAAAGTTGAACTTTGATGACCTCTGGTGACCTGACCTTTGACCTGATCTAAAAAATGACCGAAGTATTTCCTCCATTATTTTTGACGTTTTCTAGTGCCGCTTACTGCGTGTCGCTACGTGGCCTAAGTGCCGAGTTAGACAGGAAGGGGGACAGGTAAAACCCCCATCCCAGCACACCACGGAAAACTGATCATTACCACGGTTCGGGATAAATGTTCCAATGGGTGTTAAATTCGAACTCAGCGAGAAAAAAATCAGGGCTTCGGAGTCGAAGTCTGGGCCGGATTTGGAGGTGGTCGAATTCGACATTTTTGTCCGGAGTCGAAGTCTGAGTTGGAGTCGCCAACTACTGACTTCGACTCCGGAGTCGGAGTTATGATTTTGATACTTTCGTCCGACACCACAGAACGAAAGCAACATGTAACTTGCAGTCCAACTAAAATGTACGAAATGAGTGCCATTTTTCGTTTATATTTTTCTAGCACTGCACTTCGCACAACAAAAGAGTGTGTGCCAACTGTAGGTACAGGTGTCAAACAGGCATCGTGAGGGACACATATATCATCTACCACTATGCGTGTTTCATGCGTGCTTCTCTTGCAGATAAATGACCCACCAACAACTCAGCAAAATACACCCCTACAACTCAAAAACACATTTTAACTCATTCCGAAATGTCACGCAATGACAGTGGAAATATGGGGTATAAAAGTGGCTCTTGCTTGGTCTACTCCACACTTCAGCCATGGCGCGTCTCCAGCTTGCAGTTCTGCTGTCGGCAGCAACGGTAGCGTTGCAGAGGACAGGCTCCACTCCAGTCAGGATTGCCGAGGCGGAGGATATCACGACGCCCCCGCCTCCTCCGATACCTCCATTCATGATGGACCCGCCTCTGAACGTCACTCTACTGGATGGATCCGTTGAAGAGCTTTTCGAAGGGGACATCGTCCTCACCAAAGATCAGCGTCTCAACCGTAAGGGTGCCCTGGCATCGACCTGGCCGAATGCAGTTGTGCCGTATATAATCACCAAATCCTCTAGAGGTGACGAGACCATCATTCTAGAAGCAATTGCTCATTGGGAGAATGCAACGTGCCTCAGTTTCGAGAGGAAACGAGGACAATACAGGAAAGGGCCGCACATTCGCTTCGAAAAGTTGTCAGGATGCTGGTCCTACGTTGGTATGAGAAAGTCGAAGGAAGGTCAGACAATTAGGCTGGGGGGATCCAGAGCGTCGTAAGCCTCGTCGCAGCTGCGACGTGTCGCAAGTTGTGTAGTAAGTCGTTTTTGGAGGGATCAATTGATGAGTAGCGTTACTTAAGAAGTAAAGTCTATCGCAAAGTGCCTGATTTACGACACAACTTACGAATTTGAAATAGCAGTCGTAAGTTGTGTCGCAAGTTGATATGGCCTTGAGGGAGAGGTCACAGGTCACAGGTCATTGGGATCATGGTCACGAAATTTGCATGGTACGTGGAAAATTGTTGAAACTTGAGATCCTGAAAATTTCGTTGCAATCCGTTTCCGCTAACGCGAGTTATAAAGCAAGAACCAACGGTTCGTCTATGAGGCCTCAATCCGCGCCAGCGAGAGTGTTGAACATGGTGCATAATATGTTATATTCACATTTATTGGGGTATTCATGGATATGAAGTAGCCTAACACCATTCCAGTAACTACTGGCGAATCCAGAAAGGCGGTCTTGGACGTTGCGAGGGGCATCCCCCAAAAGATTCTCCAAATTCTAAAAACGATGTGTCCCAGATGACCCCCATGACCTCGAATTGATCTCTGTGATGACCCCAAGTTGACCTCTGTGACCTGACGTGTCCCAGATGACCTCCAATTGAGCTTTGTGATGACCCCAAGTTGACCTCTGTAACCTGACGTGTCCCAGATGACCTCCGTGAACTCCAATAGAGCTCTGTGATGACCCCAAGTTGACCTCTGTGACCTGACGTGTCCCTTGATGACCCCCATGACCTCCAATAGAGCTCTGTGATGACCCCAAGTTGACCTCTGTTACCTGAAGTGTCCCAGATGACCTCCGTACCTCCAATTGAGCTCTCTGATGACTCCAAGCTGACCTCTGTGACCTGATGTGTCCCAGATGACCTCCAATTGAGCTCTGTGATGACCCCCAAGTTGACCTCTGTAGCCTGACGTGTCACAGATGACCTGCGTGATCTCCAATAGAGCTCTGTGGTGGCCCCAAGTTGACCTCTGTGACCTGACGTGTCCCAGATGACCTCCAATTGAGCTCTGTGATGACCCCAAGTTGACCTCTGTAACCTGATGTGTCCCAGATGACCTCCGTGACCTCCAATTGAGCTCTGTGATGATCTCAAGTTGACCTCTGTGACCTGACGTGTCCCATATGACCTCTGTAACCTCTAAGTGACCCCTCTGATGACTCCAAGCTGACTTATCTGACCTGGTGTGCCCCAGATAACCGTCATGACCTTCAATTGAGCTCTGTGATGACCCCAAGTTGACCTCCGTGACTTGACGTGTCCCAGATGACCTTCGTGACCTCCAATTGAGCTCTTTGATGACCTCAAGCTGACCTGTGTGACCTGGCGTGTCCCATATGACCCCCAATTGAGCTCTGTGATGGCCCCGAGTTGACCTCTGTAACCTGACGTGCCCCCAAGTTGCCTTCTGTGACCTGACGTGTCTCAGATTACTTCCGTGGTCTCCAATTGAGCTCTGTGATGACCCCAAATTGACCTCCGTGACCTGAAGTGTCCCAGATGACCTCTGTAACTTCCAATTGTGACCTCAATCTCCAACTCTACTAACTCTCTGTGACCTCATACTCTCTTAACTCATTTCTTCTAAAGCATCGCTTCTAGATGCCCTATAGCGCCACGAATCTCCTGTGATCGATCCCAAAATTCATGGCAACTCACGTGAGCGTTAGCAACCACAAGTCACCCAGTTGAGACAAAGCTTCAGAATCAGAGAACATGCTTGAACTGGCTGTCTCATAAGCTCGCAAACCAGAAGGGCGAATGTTCCTTTATGCTTGATAGAGTTTTCGACCTTACTGACGCTTACTACGGGATCAGCTGATCGTGTAGCCTTTTAAATTCTCGAGTAAAGCGGGTATTTAAACCTTGTCGCAGCTACGTTCTGTCGTATCCTCCGACAAACCCCTCTTTCCTCAACATCCCTCCTTTTCCGCTACGACACAACTTGCGACGGGACATGTGTCGTAACTTGCGACGTGTCGTAGATGGACTTGCGACGCCCTGGATCCCCCCGGCCTTAGCATTGGGAATAATTGCGAATATCTCGGTATTGTGGTACACGAGATTGGCCATGCTATCGGATTCTGGCACGAACAGTCCCGTACAGATCGAGACTCGTACGTCACGGTCATTTCGGAGAACATCCAAACTGACCGAGGAGGTAATTTCAACATAGCGTTCACCGAACAGTCACTGGGAGTTCCGTACGACTTGAACTCCTTGATGCACTACGGTGGATTTGCTTTCACCAATAATGGTTTTCCGACACTCGTCACCAACGACATCGCTCAGGCGGGACTAATTGGGAATCGCGACGTTCTCTCACACCGCGACAAGCACCTGGCCAACCTGATGTACCTCTGCGACGCCAGCTGCTCATCCCCGCCCACCTGCGCCAACGGAGGCTACGTGGACAGCAGCTGCACGTGCGTGTGTCCTCCGGGAACCAGCGGCACCACGTGCCAAACCGTCACCGGCACCTACTACGAGGCGCCGTGCGGCGACCAGGACATCACAACGGAGAGCAACATCACCTCGCCCGACTACCCCAGCATATACGCGCCCGGACTGCACTGTGTCTGGATCGTCACCGCGCCAGAAGGAATGCAGGTCCTCATCGAGTTCGGCGCGTTCAAGATGTTCGGTCGCTCTGGTGTCAGGTGTCCCTTTGACTGGGTGACCGTGCACACCGATAGCGACTCGATTCCAGACTACGTCAACTGCGACGAGGAGCTGCAGGATAAGAACATCACGTCGTCGGGCGGTCGTCTGGCTCTGGAGTTTCACAGCTATGGTGGTGGCAGCTTCCCTGCTAATCAGACGGGATTTACGGCAACGGTGACGTTCGTCTAGGAGATCGACGAGAGGCCCTTCCTCGGGCCACACTTGACAACGGGAATCAGTTCCTTATTTTTCGGGCATCTTACTGGAATTGTCTGTAGCTGGTTTGATATGAAGTTTTTGAATGGAAATGATGTGATGGTTATGGTGACAATTTGTGCGTATGTAGATGCAAAGCAATCCCAATTAATTTGTTTGCCCCATGATAGAGTTAGAACTTGCTTGATGTTTTTCACATCCTGGGGGTTTGGATCAATAAATAAAGAAGCAAACCGGTTCTCTGTATTAGCTTCATTATCTGGCCTGGGAGGAAAGTTGCCTTTTTTCCTTATTTTAAAAGGCCTGATGTTTTTTTCAATTCACTTGTTTGGTGTGTGGTCTGACCACTGGCGTCGTTTTTTTGTTTTCTTCAATAAGCCGACATTAACATCACGGCACTATCTTAGTACTTGGCAATAATCTTGTTCCATCTTTGGGTGGTACCATTAGGGTGACGAGTCGGTTCAAATAACTTTAGCACTAATCAACATGTCAATACATGCTACATTTTGCAACTAAAATAATTATGTAAAACGAGACACATCACAAAACGGCATGTCAAAGAGTCAACAAGAATATTCACCTTCTGAACAAGTCCGTAATCGCCACGCTGTATGTGTAAAGCTTGTGATGTCAATACATGCACGCATGCATACAATACTTCTACAAATGCCTCGGCAGTTTATGAGAGAAAGCTTGCGCGTAACGATTGTATGCGACATCACCTATTTAGCGAGGATTGTACAAAGTACGCACTGCGCGTATACGGCATTATATCGCATTCCGTTCAGTACCTACTACCTATCTAAGGAGTATAGACTAACCGCTAACAGTGTGACAAAACCAACTCCACCCTCCTCGCCAGCCCTCCCCCAGTGGTCACGCTCCATACCTTCGCTATCGATCGAGAATGACCTGGTTTGGACACCGCTCCACTAAAGGCGAATTCGCTGACGGTTAAAGGGACACTCCCACCTTAACATTAGTTTTGAGTTGAGATAGCCAAATTGATGGCCATGGCCTGCAAATACCGGTTTGGGCACTCACAACATCGAAAAATGCTTTAATTCGAAGATATGGAATTTCAAACTTGCAGTTTTCGGATTCTAAGGGGCTAATGCATTGGAATGCCCCCTTAGAATTTGTGACGTCAGCGGAGATCTAACGATTTTTAAATCTTAGGCTAAAACCATCGTTAACACGTGGTGGTATACGCTGCTTTGCGCGCAACGTCTGCCGCACTTTAAGGCTGCCAAATTATTGCTTCCAAATAAAGTCGCTAGTAACAGGGGAGATCCCAAAAAGTAAACAAAAGTAAAAGCCTAATATCTTGAAAACCAGTGAATATTTTTCGATGAAATTTGGTAGATATTCGTTTTCGCTCTTTCTGAACCAAGGGACATCACTTTCATGCAAATTCATTAACTTTTTTGAAGGTGGGAGGGTCCCTTTAAAATGTGGAGCACACGCGACAGCTGGTTAGACTGTGGACAGCCGGAGAAAGGCACTGCAACAGCGAACGTCGTTTGCCGGTGCTTTTAGGTGTTATGATACTGATGGTTGTCGGTGATGGGAAATATTTAGATGCGCGAGCTGTTGAGTATTGATGATGTCGTAAAACCGAAGGATCAGAGGTATTCTAGAGGTAGAGGTAGTAGAGGTATTCTAGAGGTAGAGATTTTCCAGAGGTACTCTAGACTCGTGGCTAGCCTACTTCAGCACGGGTAGCTTATCATAGACAGTCAACACATTGGTAAATATGGAAAATAATCACAATACATTTCTTATTATGATTGAAATTTCAATCATTTTGATAAAAAAAAATGCATAAGCTGGGGAGGGGGGAAGGGAAGGCGAATCCAGACCCCACTTCTAATATGGAGCTATAAATGGAGCACGTAACACTACGCAGGAACCCACACACAATTTTTGCACCCATGTCAGTACTAGGTACGCCAGCGTTGAAGACGCGTTTTGTTCCAAAACACAAACATAAATGTTCCCTCAAACACCTCAGTCGCATGGATCACGGCGTCAACGCTGGACAGATTGAGTGAGTCAAAGTCCCGCTTTGATACTTATGTCTCGCTCACTGTCGCAAAAATCAATGGGGATGTTCGCGCTAAGAGTTCCGAAAAGTCTCGCCAGGTGGCAGCACGGTATGCTTTGGACACAACGCGCCGGCCGGGTGCCGGCCGGGCCGGGGATAACACTGCGGGCGGCGACGGCGGCCGCCGCGCCGCGAACGGAAACTGCGTTCCATGTCTTTTTCAGGTTCATCATTTTGCTAAAATGAGCAGCTACAGTTGATTTCGATATTAGGAAGACAATGACGCGTGTGAAAGGCAAACTACTACATCGTCATTGAGCGGAAGGAAAGGGAGCTGGTCGAATGGTCACCAAAAGCTACAGAGTACGAAAGATACGATGTTATCACATATTTTAACTTACACAGTTGAAATAAAAAACCTTGTTACATTCAGACATATATTCACACGCATGAAACAATCGATTTACAACACACATTCCATGACAAGAACGCATACCTACGGTCTTAAGTTGACCTCTAGCGCTCGTCACTGTCAGATAAGTCAAACACATCCCTGTAGTTTGTACAGACTATTGACTTAACCCTTCATCCGGCATGCGTTCATTCTGTAATGATGGGCAACGAATGACCGGCGATTTCTGCGTGGCTCTATATGACATCCTCGTCCGTTCCCCAAGTCAATTGGTTCGGTGACTTTCAAATTATAGCAGGCCCTTCCTCGGTCAGGCTTGATGGATCCACCGTCACTTTGCGCGGTACTTTTAAGACAGACTGTACCTTCTACCAAACCACTGACTGATTAAAATCTGATGCGAAAGGGACAATATCTCGTCGGTCTATCAGTTAAAGTTTAATATTCAGCGACACAAGTGTGAGGGGCTGAGGGCTGCCTGGAAAACTTGCAACAAACTAAGTAAAATAAGCTTGGCTTGTAATGGGCACAAACTTGTAATAAAGAGGTACTTAATTAACAAATCCACAATGTTCCGTTCAGGCAAGTAGCCTTCACATGTGAAGCATTGCTATGACTACTCTTCTAGAGCTGATTGATAACTTTTGAAGGAAGGAGCTGAGTGGCTGAGCCCTACCATTCACCACTTATCACCTTCAACAATTGCTTAAGGCATGCAGTTCTCTATCACTAGAAAATGTCTGACAATTTGCTGGCTCTCATTTGTGTATGATGCAACACGCTTTGCATCAGTGATACTATGACACGAAATGTTGAACACTAGCATAGGTTGCAATGTAGATCCAAGGTGTCCCAGAAGCCAGAGCAAAAATTGACACCTTAATCAACTTCATGATTGTGGCAAAACTCCACTGCTTGACTACACAGAGCACCAACTGTTTGCTCCTCTAAACTTTCACCAAAGAAAGTGCTGCTGATGTCATTTGTAGCAGCAGTGACACTGGTAACTTCAAATCACAGGATCTGGTAGCATCCATGCTCTTGAATCTGGATCTTATCAATGCAGCATTGCACCTGTGAATAAATGAAAAATGGCATAAGACAGTAGGGAAAGATCTTGGCAAGTCATAATGAGATACATATGTTTAACATGCATGGATAAAAGGACATTATATACTGAAGCAATTAGCAAAACATCGCAGTTTAAAGGGACTATCCCACCTTTAACATGGGGTTTGAGTTGAGATAGCCAAGTTTGCGGCGAGGTTCAGAAACCACTATCTATCTAGGTTGCAACCCCCGCGGCCTCTTGGTGTTGAAGAAATTCGTTCCCTTCATTTGAAAATGGGCCTTGTACAAGGCCCTATCTTCAACATGGAGCGACCGTTAGTGTGACGTCACCTCGTTTAGTCATTCTGATTTAAATGGGGTTGTTCGTTGAAAAATCGCTTAAAACTTGGTCTGAACTTTGTTGTGGTGCCTACAGAGTAAAAAGAATCAGCTTTATGACAGTAATGTGGCCTGGGGAAGGAGGTAATTTTGGGCTGTGACGTCACATATTTGAAAGTTTGTGTTTGGAATATGGGAAGCCTAAGATGTTTAATGAAAAATAAATGCCAGAACCGTGTTCCTGGTCATCCAATCTATAAAGTCGGGCACAATTTAACTGGTTTTAACAACATTTTAGAAGGTGGGATAGTCCCTTTAAGCACAGTTGAAATCTGATATGATGAACTGGATACAGTGACATCATCAAGACCCATGAACTTTACACAAAGTATTTGCAATTTTGAAATGCACTTTTATTGCAGTTGCCTATACAAATATTCTAGAAGGTGAAAATTTATTTTAAAAAACAACAAAAAACTTGCCCGTATTTAGTTGCTAAAAACGCTGAGTGAATATTCTAAAATAGTGTTCACTTCAGTGTGAATCAAAACTTAGAGTAAACAATTATTTACCTGATGAATGAAGATATTATATCAATAATGAGTAGCTTTAGGTGGTGATGAGTTGAAAAAAGAACATTTTGCAAGAAAGGCCATCAGTGCAGTGCACAAGCTGTTCACCAACTCCTACCTGGTCTTTCAGTGGGATCCCTCTGTATGCACCTCCGAACTTCATCCGCAGGGCTGGTTCCTTCATACGCAGGTCCTCTGCCTTCCTTGATTCCTCGGACTCCATCCTGACAACTCCGCACCAGAAGCATGATTGCACTGGGCACCTGTAACACCATGTAGGATGATCAATACTTGTAACAATTCATAAATAGTAGGTAGCTTAGTGTTCTATTACATATACCTCCTGGTTGCTGGTGTCAAAATAGATCCTATTTGTCTTTTTCCATCATAACCTTTATCTGCATGCAATATCTTTGGTACCAGACAAAGTAGAACACTGCTAAAATGCTTGCAATGAATCTTATAAAAATGCATTGAATTTATATAATCATTCTCGGCAGCATGTATCATCTTTTAATGCCTTTCTCAAAGGGCAGGTCAATTTCCTATATTGATATGCCCATAAACTTATACAGGTAAATTACCTC